GGGTTGTTTGATCAAACCATTGCTTGGATATCACTTGGAGGAGTCTTAGGCCTTGCTTATGGGTAAGTTTCAACACATTTTCATTGGTTGAATCATTGGATTTCAATTTGATGACCTAATGCTTGCATGCTTGGATTGATATGGTTAGAGAGCTCAAATTGAAAATATGTATTAGATAAAAGTGGCTTAGAATGCTGTTTTATAGTGATTGAACTCATAAAAATTATTGAGGAATTGATTGGTAACTTAGACAAATTTTGATGTGGGAATGCATGACTTTATGAAATTGACATGTTGTAGGATTGTGTAATTGAGTTGTGGAGCATTTGTATGAGTTAATTATAGGATTGTATGATGTGTGGAAGTGTTGAAATGAATCAAAAGTCCCTAGGTATCCAAGCATGTGGAATTCGACCATTTGAGGGGTTATAAGGTTGGATGATGTAAAAATTGTGTAATGGATGTTGTGTGATTGTGAATTGTGTTTAAATAGATTGTATGTTGGTGTGATGTAGTTGAATTGGAAAGAAAATCATTGGTTGTCTGTGAGTGTGTGTATTCGGCCATAATGGCATAAATTACGAAAAATGGTGCTATGATGGTATTAGGTGGAATTAAGGGCTTAAATTGGTGTTGTGGTAAGCTTAGGAAGCTAGTGGGAACTTGAAATAAAATTAAGAACATAGTTTGGTAATTTTGGGCCTCTTGGCCGAATTGTGATGTGTGTGGGTGGGCTTGTGGTGCTTGAAATTTTGGTTGGTTGCACCTTGTGTTGATGATTCTTGTGTGATCATTGTAAGTTGCCTCCCACGGACGTAAACTTGGAGCGTTGAGCTTGGTGGGTTGCCTTTGGTCCTTGACCAACAGGATTGTGGTAAGTGATTGTGTAAAGATGCATGAGTGCTTGAATAATCATGTATATGCTTTTATTTGGTTATAATTGAAATGAGAATGACCTATGTGTAGGCATTTCTTGTTGGACCAAGCTCGGTGACATATTTCATTGGAGCTACCTAGAGAAGGAGTTTCCATCAGGTAATCCCTTGGTACTAGAGTTAGTCCTCGTCTGTGCTCCACCATGCCCCTTGGAGGTAGTGGTTGGAGATGTATGTTGATAGTGTATTATAACATGCTCATGCATATATGTATGTATATTGGGTACATAGGATGTACTGTGTCTCTGGCTAGAAGACTATTGCCTTCGAGCGTTACGGACTTCCACTAGATAGGTCTCCGTGAGGGAGTTCCAGTTGACTTAAGGTCATGGGGTGTCATCCGTTGAGGAGCACTCTAGGAATGTCTCGGGTGTATATGGATGGAGGGCGCCTTGGTTGATGTTCTGGGAACACTTTCTTGGATGAGAACCCGTAGGCTATATGTCGAGGCCAATAGGCCGAATGTTGCATGGCTTTGGCATCGTCCATTCTAGCTTCATTGTATTTTTACTCCCTACACATCCCTACTTCACTAAATCCCTTGCTTTATCCTTTTTTGGTTGTTGTAATATATTTTTGATTTACATCTGAGTGAGCCATTGGACGGAGTAATCTTCAGAACCTCTTGGTTACTGAGATATATTTGTATATCTCATCCCGTTTTGGGGACTTTATTTCAGGTAGTGGCAGTGGGACAGGAGCTGTGGACAAGATGCCCGTATGATGAGCATATGGACATAGAGCTTCTTTTGCATTTTGAGGCCACTTGACCTAGGCTAGACTTAGGGCATGAACATTGTGTATGGATTTAGGTCTATGTATATTGTCATATTTGTTCATGCCATCTTTTTGTCTAAGTCTAGTTGTACATTTGTTATACTTTATGTTTAGGTTATTTTCATTATGTGTAATTGAAGGTTTTATTGTGTTATGTTGTAATTGGAGACTTGTAATTGTAATATTGAAGTATGCTATATGATGAAAGGGAATAGGCCTATTTTAGGTTATGAATATGTGTATGTTTAAAGAATGCATGCAATTGGATCAAAGTGATTGAAACGATTTAAGTTTTAAATTGTAAGAAATGAAATGTAAAGTGAGCAAAATTGATATAAATTATGGTGGGTTGTAAGAGCACCAAGACATTGCTGGTCCTTGAGTGCCACCCTTGAATATTCGGTACCATTGATGATAGTTAACACACTTTTGATAAAGTGGGATACGTTGAATAAACAAAGGAGATGCCGTTGAATTTTCTAGAAAATGACAGATTTTGGGTGAACGTTGAGAGAGCATATCTCCCTTCACAGAAGTCCAATAGGGACGTGCCATACATCATTTTGAAGATTGAGATGTCAACTATATTGTGTCAAAATATGGTAGCCATTGGAGTTGTATGCAGACCTATAGAGGCGTTTGAATGGAGACTGCTCGGAATTGCCCTGCACATGGGGCTGTCGAGTGCTGTTTTTGGGGAATTTATTCCCACCTCAATTCTTGGTAAAATTAGGCCCATGAAATGTAAAATTGAATCTAGATGTATCTAGTTTATTGTATAAAAATTTGAGAGCAATTGGTGGTGTAGTTTGTCCAGAATCGTTGAAAGAGTAGAGGCTGTTTGGAGCCCTGTTTGAGGTTGGCTGGCAGCTTTGCTTGTCCAACTTCAAACGATGATAACCGGAGCAAACGAGAACTTTATGGAACCTGTGATAGCTAGTTGGAAAGATAATTAAGTCTAGAATAACATACTAAAAGATGAGATATTTGTAGCATGCAGATCTCTCGTAATATCCAGATTACTGAATCATGTTCAGTTGTGTAAAAACCGTAAAAGTGAGATTTATGCTAATTGGTTTATGGGAATCTCTTAGGTAGTGTTTGGTTCGGGGCTTCTGGAGATTATCGCAGCAAGGTGCATGTGGGTATCTCATTTCTCCACGTTTGGTTGAGGGATAAGCTGAAATTTGTCCATCAAAGTGGCTTCCCTAGCAATCGACATCCGCGTGTAAAAATTGGAGTTTTGCACTGTTGAAGAAGCCCTTTAGGATGATGGTATTGTTGTGAATACCGGACAACTCTTTTTTGGGGATGAAAAATGTGACAAATTTACCCCCTTACTAGCAGAATCTAAGGATGTTTGTCAGCTTCTTAAAAGGAAGCAAACGAGACATCGAAGAATATGCAGACATCGAAGAAATTGTATATTTATGGAAGCAAACGAGAACAGAGATGTGGCCTTATGTTTATTCACTTTGTGAAATGAGATCTTCATTGGGGGAGCTAAGACAGAAGCTGGACCACTTGGATGGTTACTGTTTTCAACTTGAGGAATGATTTGAGGCAAGCATTGCAGTCAAGGGACCCAATCATGTTTGTGAACAACTTAATAATCTTCAAGTGAATATGCAGACAACCTTTAATTAGTCAGGCACACTTTCTTGATTCAAGTTCTGGGTTGTAATATGGAAGACAGAGACACAAAGGTTGCAATAAAACCAAGGTATTTTTATAAGGATAATTTTGCAATTTGATTAATTTTTCCCATCAATATTTTATCTTCAACCAAACACACATTACAGAAATTTCATTCAATTTTCTTGGTAAAATTTTGCCCAACCAAACAACTTTTTTAAAACTTTCCTATCTAACTCACTTTCCCTGCAGATCCCTAGTATTTACATTTCCTCAGTATTAAAAAATTTCACCTCAACCAAACACTACCTTAGTGACTTAGAGAAGTATTTTGTGATAGTTAGGCAATTGTTTTAATTATTCCGCATTTAGTTTTCAGTTATGATCACAGCTTTTACTCATTAAATTTTATTATTATTTTAAATGCTAGCGTAATGAAAAGAAGAAAATTTAATCGCATTTTCATAAATGAACATAATCAATGTAACCTATATGTAACGAGCTGTTACATGGCACATGTCATTTATGCATGTGTTGTTGTATGGTTGCCACTAATCTGTCAGCAACCCAACGAAATATGCAGGGAAGTAGGGTTGGCAAAACGGGCCAACTCGGCCCGACCCGACCCAACCCGAAAAAAAGAGCCGAGTTAGGGTTGGCTCGAAAAAAAAACGAGCCAGAAAACCCAACCCAATCTGACCCGAGTCGGATTAGGGTTGGCTAAAAAATATGGCTCGTGGGTTGACTTGAAAAAATAGCTCGCGAGTTGGCTCGCGGGTTGACTCGAAAATTGGCTCGCAAGTTGACTCGTTTTCAGCATATTTAAATGACCCTGTAGTATTAATGCATCAGCTATGTGGCTTCCATTAGCTTAAACAAAGAGTTACAAAAAGAGAAATAAAAGCAAAATATTTTAGTTTCGAATTTTCTTCAACCAAATTTGGATCGACATCCAGAAACAATCAGAACTACTTGGTACCAAGTGGGTAAGATATTTGAACCAAACAGAGCCAACACAGTCTAACAATATAAAAATGGCAGGGATGTGAGAAGATTAGAGACTTAGGTTTAGAGGAGGAAGAAAAATAATGACAACATATGTGGATTTTGTCCATTTTTGTATATTATATTTTGTATTTTTTCATAAAAATAATGTCCCGTGATTTGACTCATTTTTTGACGGATTGAACTCGGGTTGACAACCTAATCTCGTTGCATGACCTGAGATTAGTCAGGTGAATAACTTCTTTCCAGTTGTGGTAGTGTGCCACATTGATCACATATCGGTACAATATTGGGTGAAATTTGTGGCAACTGTCATGTGTCGAGCGTTTATTTTGTGCTCCGGGAACACGTGAGTCGGCTAGAGAGAAGAGAGAAGAGAGAGAAAGGGAGAAAGAGGAGAGAGTAAGGACCACTGCATATTTTTTCGTCATGTGTCAATCCAATCTCACTTGTTGTTGTAGTATGAATGAGACGTGAAATTTTGGAAAATTTTTAATGGATCTTGACATGAGTGACAAAAGGGTCAATTTCCTACGGAACAATGCGCCAAATTTAAAAAACACTCACTTCACTGTTGAAGTATATTACTCTTTTGTTGAGCTGAGCTTATAGCGTCATGGCTGGGCTCACTGCTAAATTCCCCATAAATTTGAAGTCATTCATAAACCTGTAAATATCAAACTCTTTACCTTTTGCATCTCTAACCCAAATCCCCTTAAATCAAACTCTCGTTTTCTATCTCCTATTTCTCTCACCGTCGCCGCCTCCGTAACCGCCCGCTATGGCGGCGACTCACGCCCCTCCGACTCCGACGAAGATCGATCCCTCGACATCTCCGCCCTCAGGTACTCCATTGCGTCTCTATTTTCAAGTTTTGTTGAATTGTATTGCTTGAATATTTTTTTTTTTTTTTTTTTGTTGTGATTTGAAATAATAGGTCAGCTTCGGTTAGACTTATTGATGCGAATCAGAACATGGTTAGTTACTTCATCGTTTGCTTTGTTAGGAGTACTTAATGTTCCAATTCCATCATGAATCATTTCCGTTTTCGTAGGTCGGAGTCGTGTCTAAGATTCAGGCACTTCAAATGGCTCAAGATGCTGAACTTGACTTGGTATAATTTTATTTATTTATTTATTTTTTTGTTTCCTAAAGTCGTAGTTAGGTTGCACACTGTGTTTGGATAATGCACATGCCGGATTCTATATATTTTTGGTGGCTATCTGATTCCCTTTTCAGTGGATTTTCTGGGAAGATGGGGGAGCTCTTCGCTACTGGCATTTTTTTCAAACAGTTAAACTTGAATAGTAGGCATGAATTTCTGTGGCCTTGTGTGTTCAGTGGTTACTGCCATTGAATTCCCGGAGTCCATTGGTGATATGAAGTTGAGAAATATATAGGGAAAGAATTTCCTAACAATTCAGTTAGACAAGTATTGCAACCTTAAACTTAAGTAATAGTTAGCCATCAGGGTTTTAAATTGCGGTTGGGTTGCAATTGTTATGGGCTGATGCGGCCAATTGTGTTCAATGTCATCCACAGTCATGGCCTAATGCTGTTGCGGCTGCAACTGCAACCAGGATGTTACGCGGTCGCATCACTGGATGCTGTCTGCAATTTATAACCCTTGTTAGCCAGTTTTTTTAAATGATGAAAACTGAAGTGTTTCGACTCAGTTTCATTAGTAGAATCAGTACACACTTTTATTACATGATCGTAGGAATGCATGGTGCTTCTGACATGAGTGCATATCAGTGACTTATCTTCTCTTATTTTTTCAGGTGATAGTATCCCCAGATGCAGATCCTCCTGTTGTTAAAATGATAGATTACAAGTACGATCTTTTTATATCCGGAGAGAAATTATGCACTTCTATTTAAATTTATTTTTTGGCTTACCTGGATATCTTTTAAAGTTCACATTAAATCTCAATATCACTTTTATCCCAAAATAGTTATGGTAGGCAGTCCAAGAACCCATATAAAAGCAAGAACAGATTAGGGAAAAATAAAATAAAATAAAATAAAAAATAAAAATAAAAACATAGAAAAATTCTAGCTTTTCTCCACTCTTTCCTACAACAAACCACATGCCATTCTAATTTTCCCCGGTAAGTTTCGGTCGACCTTTTCCTTTCTTTATGTCATGCTCTCGATAACAAATTTCATCTAAGGGTCTTCGAAGAACACGCCAAAACTATCTCAATTTATGTTCTCTCATCTTTTTTTCCACTGGTCTATTCTAGCTTTTCATTGAATATCTTTATTTATAATCTTATCTATCATTCTTTGACCACAAATCGATCTCAAGATCCTCATTTCAGCTACTTTCATTTTGTGGTCATGTTGTTTCTGTGTTGACTAATGTTCAACTCCGTATAGCTTTGCACACCTGTTAAATAAAATATCGTTTTAGTCCAAGAGGGATTTTACGATCACACAAAAATCTCAACACAATAATATACTATCACAATTCTTCTAGTTGATGGCTGTAATTGATAATCTATTTTTTGTATCCGTGTCAAATTGTCATGTGCAGACATTTGATCAGTAAGTTTAGTAGTTAATGATCTCTTGTCTACATGTTCAAACGATTGAATATTTTAGTACTGATCAATAGGCTTGATAGACTAATAATTAATTTGGTGTCTATTTTTTTTTCCTTCTAGCTTTATGCAATTGCAACTACTTGTTTTTTCAATTTTTACTGGGCAAGGAGGAGGGGTGGTGAAGGTGGGAGTATTGTTTGCATTCAGTTGTGCATAAATGGATGCAGTGCTTCTAGCAGCTGGTGTATATTCTTCATTTTGATGGTAGGTCATTAAGTTTTTCAACATAACTCACATGCTGAAAATTTAGAGGAAGTTAAAATCAGTCTATAATAAGATAAGCATATGGTTGATGAAAGACTATATTTGCCTTTTTTTTTTTTTCCTTTTCTGCCTGCTCACTGCCCTTATATACTTATCCTTTGGGAATTGTTGGAGCTTGAAATTTAGAGATAAATTATATTTGCTTCTTTTACAGTAAATATAGATTTGAACTGCAAAAGAAGAAAAGAGGACAGCAGAAAAAAAGTGCTGTTAACCATTGTATTTTTATTTTAATTTAAACTTTGCTGTTTTCTTCTAATTGATTGATGTAGAACTCAGATTTACCAATAAAGGTTAACTACTGACATGTTCTTTTAAACACAGCCAATCGGGTGGATTTGAAGGAGCTCAAAATGGGGTAATGTTCTGGCCTAGGTCCTCTTTCCTTATTTTTGTTATTTCTGAGATTCATTTGTTCTCTAATCTTTACGGAATTCTGAAGCGTAATTATAGGTCAAGCATTAATAATTTTAAACTTTAATAAGTAAATGGTCAGATTTCAGAACTGTGAAGATGTCATATTTTGTTATGACCCCTAGATTTAGGCAGGTTGACTATGGGTTCTCTTGAAAAGCATTAGACATGTGTACCTCTTTAATTGTTTTGGAACTTTCAATTCATTTACACAGACTTGGTGCTTTTTAATTGTTTAGAAACTATCAGCGACAATAAAGAAAGAAAGCCGTGTATTCTAACTTTTAGGCATTTTATCATGAAAATCTTGCTTCGGGTAGTGGACTTGGGATCAATTTGAAGTTAGAACATGATGTATCAGAAGGAATTTTTTTAGTTGTGCTGCTCTGAGACAAACTGATATATACCCACCCAAGAAGAAAGCGTATGTTAGGAAGAAGTTGCATGAGAAGCAGGGGATCAGCTCCCCTAGGTAACATGACTAGGAAGGTGAGTAACTAACATCCTATGTGGCATGGGTCTCATGATTGAGAGAGAGAGAAAACAGTGAAGCAGCGTGGGACACATGGGAAGCGATGTAAACAGAGTAGCAGGAAAAAAGTAAGAGAAGTGGGGAGAGAACCTGACCTTTTGAATGCCTGGGATATAGTGTGCTTTCTTTTTATTTTCTGCAAGTTTTCCTACTTTTATACACATATCAGACCTCACTGATCTGATATCACCTTGATATCAGCTGAGGAGGAGATACATATCTCCCTTTGTGTGTGATTTTGATCTGATACCTATAAAAGGGAAAACCCCACTGCACAAAGGCTTCCTGATTTTGCGAAGGTTGGGATAAGAATTGATTGTACACAGCTTACCCTTGCATTTTGCAAAGAGACTATTTTCTGGACTTGAATCCATGACCTTCCGGTTACAAAGGAGCAACTTTATCACTACTTGAAGGCTTGCCCTTGTATAATACCTATCATAAACATAAATTATGTGATACATCGTAACTATATACATAGATAAAACTAACATACTGATCTCATTTAAAGCATTTTCCAAATCAAAGGAAAACAAGTACAAATTTTACTTAAAAAATTCAGGTAGAATCCACACCTGAAAACTAAACTTCCCAAAATACAACTAGATTACAATAATTTTTATAGTTCTCATATCCATTCATCATATCTGATACAATCACATCTACAAAACTGGAATAACCATTTGAAGAGATAACACAAACCTTGGTACTTACTTGACAATGTAGTCGCCCAAAGGGGTGGCTACATAGAAAGGGTGATCAAGCTACATAGATTTTCTGCCGAAGCTTGTGGCTAAATACAAAGACTCATTAGAATGATCCAGCCCTGTACTTTCACTGCAACAGAGTAGAAGCCTAGGCCGATACACAACTGGAATTGCAATAATTTGCACTACACTTAACAAAAAGCTGCTTGATAGACTACACTTGTCGTGAAAATTCACCATCTAGCATTGTGGCATCATCAAGACTGCTTCCATCAGCAAGGCTAAATACAAAGACCACATAAGAATGATGTACCTTCACCACCACAAAGTAGAAGCCTATGCCGATACAGAAGTGGAATTGCAGTAACTTTCACTACGCTTAGCAAAAGCTACTTGACAGACTCCACTTGTCTTGAAAATTCACCATCTAGCATTGTCACATCATCAAAACTGTTGCCATTAGCAAGGCTATTTGTTCAAGCTCTACTGACAATCCGAGTGCCATTGTAAGTTCCATGCAAATTTTCATCAATTGACACGGTTCCAGCCTTTCAGAATTTATTTCATTTGCCTAATGCTCCTGGGAAGACTTTGATGGTACAGAATTTTGTTGTGACTTGTCTTCTGCATGCGCAACACCATTCTTAGTCCTTTTAAATGCTTCATAACTCTGATCCATATTATCCTCTGGTTGGACATGATGAAGTCGAGCACTCATTTTTGTAGCAGTACCCAGCTTGAGCTCCATGATGCAGTGCATGTTATGCTTTCACAAATGGATCCAGCCCTTGATGCATACTGTGACAAGATTGCTAGCTATGGTGGCCCAGTTCATCGGCCTGATGAATTAGGGAATTCTACCTTCCATGCTACTCTTGTTGTACGTAGTCCTCTCCATTGTAAACCTTTGCATTTGAAACAATAGTAAGATCAATGTCGTGCAGGTATGCGCATGTAATAATATAGTGGCCATTATCAAAATGCTACAGGATGGTAGCCATGTTAATTGAGCGATAATTAGATGCGTCGCAACCATATAATATTCATTGCCAGCATAATTTATCTGTGAGATAAGAGAAATCACAACCATTTCGTCACTATTTCATCATTGTATATCTTATTGATAAGAAAAAGTCACCAAAAAAGTCATTAGATGGCGAGATGAGGTTGATCCTGAAACTACCGGAGATTGACCAATTTAGAGGAGTGGCTGATGGTGGTGTTGCTGGCCAGAAAGCTAGCCGGAAAGTCATCAGATTGCAGTAGGCAGTAGCAGACGGCAGAGAGAAGGTTGTTAATAAAACAGACAGGAGAAAGAGACGACTAATAGGAAGAAAGAAAATAATCATGGAAATAAAATAGAGCTCCGGTGTTTAGGAAACTCTATAGTGGAATGGAATAGTGATAGAACATGTCACATTTGTTAATCAATGCTTGGTGTTATTTGATCATGGTTTCAGTCATTTGTGTGTGTTTCTGCATTTTGCCACATGGTATGGTAGAGATTCTGTTTTGCTTGGTCCCTTTTTATGTAGCCAATCATTTGGGGGTATCCATTTTTGCTGACCTTATGTTCAAGGTTTGTGTTATATCTTTGAATGGTAATGAGGCCTTAGTAGATATGATGGAGGGGTAAGAGATGTTTGAATTCTGATAATTTTGAGTATTTTGGAATGTTGAGATTTTTGGGGGGAGGGGCCATCAGTAAGTCTATTTTGGTAAATGTTTCTCTGAAGGCTTTCTAGGCTGGCTAGTCCATATACAGCAGCAATCATGGCCCTTGAATTTGATCATGACATCAAACTTATTCTATGATTTATGTATGTTTTTTTATAGTTTATTTGGTTTTCCCCTTAAAAATGGAGGTGATAATTTCAGGTGTGAGTTTTTTTATGAAAAGCCAATCAGTGGATTTTTCACCCCTAATTTCGAAAGGTATAACATTAACTTAGTAATAAATGACCCCAATTAGAGCAGTGATAGGGGTTGCCTTTTATGAGCTGGGATTAGCTGAGGTTTAGGTTGCTCAATTATTTTTGCTGTCATATGTGATTTTTTACTAAAAATTTCTTTAAACTTTTATTAACAGATTCAACATAGATCAACATGACTATTCTGTGCGGTTGAAAGCTGCACGGAAGTTTTTGAAAGATGGTGACAAAGGTTGCACGAATTTTTTAGTTATGCGGGCATATTATATACAGAACAAAAGCATACTATTTTTATGGTATTACTTTATCGATATCTTTTGGATCAATTCCTGCAGGTTAAGATCATAGTGAACCTTAAAGGCCGTGAAAACGAATTCAGGAATATTGCTATTGAGCTTATTAAACTTTTCCAGAGTGATGTTGGGCAGGTATGTGATACCTCTTTGCCTTATTATGATCGAGTAAGATAATTGTTAAGCATTGGAAAACTTAACCACAAGTCAATTAACATGCTGATTTCTGTTTTAGCTTTCATGGGGAACTTTTAATTCTATTAACTATTTGAATTTCTTATCCAAACCACACTCTGGTGATATACAGCTTGCAACAGAGGAGAGTAAAAGCTTCCGCGACAGGAACATCTTCATAGTTATGGTTCCAAGTAAAGCTGATCTGCAGAAAACTCAAGAACCACCAAAGGAAAGAGACAAGTCAGCAGCAGATGAAGTCTCCGCTGGTGTCCAAGCATAACTGTAAACTTTCACCAAGTTTCTAATTGTAGAATAGAGTGTGGGTAACTTACATTCTTCATCGAGGTTGGGATCTCTGAGTGTTTTATAGCATATGTATAATTCCTAAATGATAGTTCTCTTCAACGAATATAAGTTACTAGAGGGATCCCGCTAGCCTAAGCAATCTTTCATCCAAGTGCTTTATTAAAATTATTATTATTATTGTTGAATATTGAATAGTTGAAGTTGACAGTAGTAATATTTACTACTTTTCAAATTCAATGCACGTGGAATTGGTGACTAGTTTGAGGCTTCATACCTTCATCAAGAAGTATACTGTCCCAACAACATACCCATTGGCAGGGAAAGCCATCAATTTCTGGTGAATATGCGTGCTTGATATGGTAAGTTGAACACGCTTACCTGTTTTAAGGGGCAGCTTAATGCTTATATATTGTGGTCTCAAAGTCGGAGTGACTACTCTATCGCAAGATGTAGAAGCTGCAACCTACGTACCTAACGATTTGAAGGTAGCTTAGTTTTGAAGTGCTTACGCTCCAAGATTGCTGACATGTTTTTACTTGCATAGAACGTAGTCTCCTGAAAGCAACACGTGATACGTATACAATAGTATTTTTTTTTTTTTTTTTTTAAATGTTAATGCCTTTTTCTTTTTGTTTCTCTCCGGGTTCTAAGACTGTAATTTGACAGCAGTTAAGGATCTTCCAGTCAAATTTAGTGTTTTTTTATAGCTGTGATGGGAAACCTTTTTCTTGTTGTAGAGGACACATTTTCCAGTCAAATTTGACATGTTTTTTACTTGAATAGAACGTAGTCTCCTGAAAGCAACACGTTATATGTACATGAGTATTTTATTTTTTCAAAAGAATGTTTAATGTCTTTTTCAATTTTTTTTTTTGTTTTTCTCTGGGTTCTAACATTCTGTAATTTGACAGCAGTTAAGGATCGACTAGTCAAATTTTGTGCATTTTTTTATTGCTGTGATGGGAAACCTTATCTTGTAGAGAGCACCTATTCTAGTTGTATGGTATTGTGTAACTTTCGTTTCTAACCTTCCGTTAGAATGTCCTCGTCTATAGAGATGTATATTATATGTACTCTCTAATAAAAAAAGAAAGCTAAATAGATAACTTTGAAGTATAATTATGTCTACAGAAACAACACAGGTGATAAAAAGCACATTTTTATGCAGAGATATTGTTGTGCAAGTTATGTTGTGCAGAAAATGGCGTATTTTTGTAAAAGTTGCATTTCAAATATTATTCTGTGATAAACGAGTCTAGCGAGAGCTCGATTCTTATGCGGTGGATTAATTTTATGGTTTTAGAATAATATATTTATGGAAGGATCGCGGAAACTAAGGCCAATCTCAACAGAGCCCAAACATTCTCTATACTTTCCTTCTTGTACTTAAAAATTGTGCTTTTCTAGTTACAATTAGGAATTCAACAACCACGAGTAGTCTAGATATCCATAATATGTCTTTAACACAAAATTAGTGAGGGATTGTTCAAAGGAAAAGTATATGCAACTGTTTTAAGAATTTGTTTTAGGATGTAAAGGTAATTCTTTTAACGCTATTACTTATTCATCCATTATTACAACTTCAAAAGAGTTTTATCATGGCAATTATTATGGAAAAGGTCAAATCTTTTTGAGGCTAAGAATATTAGTAGTACCGGTATAGACTCTAATATCCTACCTAGACCTTACCCATTGCTATCTCCAATGTTGCACCGATACCAACATAGAATACAGATATGATAAGACATGGTATTCTGACACGTTAATTTTAAAAAATGTTAGATTTTGACACGTTAGGACACGTTTTGATATTAAATAATATTTTTAATTTATGTATTGTATATTATATTTAAGGAAAAAATGTGTATCATTTTAAAGGACGTAAAGTTGTATAATTTTAAGTGAGAGAAAGAGATAGATAAAGGAGGAGAGAGAATGGACAAAAAAATATAAAGGTGTGGGTCCCACCTCTTTGTGAGAGTGAAATGACATAAGTTGTGTTATTTAAAAGGACAAATATCTTTCCCTATATTTACTATTCAATAATTTAATAAAAAAATGAAGCTAAACTTATAATACTCATCAATTTTACAAAGAAACAGAATATATCCCAAATATTTATATTAAACTCAATAAAATGATAATTGTAATCCAAAGAAGCTAATAGTTGGAACTAAGAATGTAACGTAACGCAATCTTTGAACCTTTTTTTTAGTCTCGAGGAGTGTCAAAGTGTCCAGAAATGTCGGACACGACACATCAGGATGTTTGAAGTGTCGGTGCATCATACGCCATCCCTACAAGGAAAATTTGGTTTGCGGAAAACAGGGTAGTATTTTTGTAATTATTAATAAAAATAGAAAATAAAAAAAAATATTTACTTAAACCAAAGAGACCGTAACTTTAAGTTACACCAAACAGAAAAAAAAAGGTATGAGCACACCAAGTGATATTACAATTACAGCAACAAATTTTTTATTTTTTTTTGGTATCACTTAGTCTACCTAATTTTTTTTCCTTAATCGCTACAGTATATGGAGGTTATTTTCCATTTGATTTATTAAAAAAACTGTTAATCAAACTAAAAGAGGTTAAGTGATAATAAAAAGGCTTAAATGCGATTTCGGCTCCTTTACCATAACTAGTGTGTGTTTTTGGTTCCCAGAATTTTTTTTTTTGCTGCAATCAAATCTTTCAAATTCTCTAATTGAAAATAATTAGGTCTTCTATCATTTTGTCGTTCAATATTTGCATAATGATTCCCTTTACTAAGTTGACATTTTAATAAATTTATTGGTAACTTTAATTTGTTTATATTTTCCAATATAAATATATTAGACATAATGAAATTTTTTAAATATTATAAATTAATTAATTTAAATAATTAATCGGTCCATTAAAATTTTTTATTCCATAAAGTGTCATGTCAAATATATAAAATTTTAGCGATGTCAGTAATTTCTGTTACTAATTGGACAAAGAATTCATGAAGGGACTTGACTTTTTTCAATTAGAAAAATTGAAAAATTCAATTATTGTAAAACATTATATATTAGGAGATTAAAATCACACATTAACCATAATTGAAGGATCAAAATGTAATTAAGCCAAAACATTTTAAAAGATAAGTTGTAAAAGGGAACAACCTTAAAAGAATAAAATGTATTTTACATTTATTTTAATGATTTTTCAGCTCATGGTTGACTGATGGAATATGATATTGAACTTTCAGTGTATAAAAATGAAACTTTTTAACTGCAAATAGGGGTGTTAACGAGCCGAGCCGAGCCGAGCTTTGGTATTAAAAAGTTAAGAACCTGTTTGGATCCTCTTATTTTTAAGTTAGAAGCTACTTATAAGCTAAAGCTAAAAAAAAGAGCTTAAAAAAAGAAGCTAAAAGCTGTTTGGAAATTACATAAAAGTTTTAGCTTAAAAATTACTTAAAATCACATAATTCAAGAAAATTATATCTCTCTCTATCTTTATCACTCTCCATTTTAAATAAAAGCACACAATTCAAGAAAAACAGATAAGAGCTTAAAAAAAAAGCTCCTCCTAAGAGCTTTTAGTTTTCAGCTTTTTTCTTCATTATAAAAAAAAGAGCTTTTCGTTATAAGAGTTTTTCCCAAAACCTGTTTGGCTTAGCTTATGCTCATAAGTAGCTTCTAGCTTAAAAAAGAGAGGATCCAAACAGGCACTAAGTCTGTGTTTAAATGTGTCAGTTTGACCAAGCCTGTTACCTGTTATGAATATAATTATCGGCTTGTGGCCTGACTTATTTACAAAAAATAAAAGCCTTGTTTAGCCTATTAGCCTGTTTTAAAAAAATAAGACAATAAAAATTTATCCAAATAAAATATACAATCAACAACACTAAATATTCATAAATTCAATGTATATCCAAACAACATAATATAGAACAAAATTATTTAAAATGTCTGTTTAACTAATAAAATGAGTTGAAATAGATTGAGGAGAGAGAGGGAGTTATTAGAAGTAGTATAAAAAATATAAAATAAAAATAAAAATTAATATATTAGGTCAGCTTGAGAGACTTTAAGGCCGAGCTTTTGAATTGGAGCTTGAGGCCTTTTTATTAAACGAGCTTTTATACAAGTTCAAGCCTGATTCCAACAACCAATTTTAGACATATAAACTCAGTCATTCACGAGCTGAGCCAAAGGCCCCTGAAAGACCTCTGGTTTGTTTACCACCCCTAACTGTAAAGTTTTGGGAGCAATCTAAAAGTGGAAAATATATTTATTAACTATTGAGAAAATATAGGATTTATATTTTTTTATGAAATATAAGCATATATATATATATATATATATATATATATATATATATATATATATATATATAAGAAATTATTGATTTTAAGTTTAAATAATATACAAATGCCTCATTAGTTGGGAAAGAGTACAAACATTCAAAGTTAAATATATAGTAGAATAGGATTACGAGATGGCCAAATGTGAGATAATTAGATTATTACCGTGAAGTTGCTAATTAGAATTCTAATTAAATAAGTTTTCTTAAAAGTTAATCAATTGTAAAATTTAAAAGGTTTTGTCGATATATATTAGAGTTGGCTTTAAAATTGTGTTCAACCATCACCAACTTTTGAAAAAACAATTTCAATATGATCATTTTTTAATGATAATTTGATATAATTTTTTATGACATATAAACTCATTTTTAAAAAATATTCTAAATTTATTGATAATGTATGGCTCAAAGTTTAATTGTGATTGATGAGGAACCTTGTAATGCCCATTGGGACTCTTTTTTTGAAATTTTTTTTCTTCTAATGTAGCCATTGTTATTACTTATTAGTGTGGTATACGAAATGGCTTTGTAAGATTTGATTTCTAATCTCCAAACATCACTCTCACGAGACACAATTATACGTTACGTGAGATAAGTGTGAATTTCATTCATCCCATGTTAAGAAAAAGCGTTTGACCATAGAAGTATACCAATGATTAATAATCTTTGGAAAGCAAGGTTTTATGACTATCTCATTTCATTTCTATATTACCTTGTTGACCTCACCACCTTTAATTTTTCCCCGTAAATCCTTCAAATAACTTGCACTAACCAAACATCAAAGCATAAAACTTAATTTGATTGATACTAATAAA